TTAAAATATATATTTAATCACAACCAAACAAGGGCTTTATCATAGAAAAGAACATTGGATAAGAGGAAAAAGGAAAAAAGAAAACCCCACACCACCACTTATTAATGGGATGCAAGTTGCTTTTTATTTGGCTTTGCATGTATTTCCTGGTCCCCTATGTCTCAATATCTGCACCTGTTGGGCGTTGCTAATGCATGAGGAGGACTTTACATGTTATCATGTCCATTTTGTGTCTTTGTCATATTACAATGGACTTAAATTCAATTATCTGCTTAGACCATTCTTGGGAAGTGGTTTTAAACTTTTTAAATTATAAATAGACAGAAGTGAGTGGTAAATAAATAGACAATTCCTGTGGATCATTCGAAATGTGAATAGAAAAAATAGCTTAAGTTTTTATAAACAGATTAGAAACACGATCCAAACATAGGCTAATTTTTTTACAGCAAATTGTTTCAGACTTTTAAGGGTTATGTAATGTTGCTAAAAGTTAATAAAAATTGATGAATCTCATGATGTGCGAGATTAAATATTGAATAAAAATTTTGGTCATAAAGAAATGTTTGATTAAAATTGAAGTTTAATCAACTTTTAACAAATAAAAGCTTTACCAAACCAGCATTAAGTAATTTTCTTGAAAGACCGTGCTTCTAGGCACTTAGAGCTTTGTCGTAAACGGAACTCATCAATCATCATACTTTTATTGGGACCTACTCTTTCACATACTGCGTAATAATTTAGCTAATGATTTTTGAAATATAATCAGTGTTACTTTGATACTATACACTGTACTGAATAATATAATATACAAATTTTTTTAAACATTTTTATGTTGAATTTTTTCTCATGTACAGAAAAAATACAGATACTCACACGAAGTGGGCCCCAAGTGAGTAAAAGATTGAAAAAAAACCACCCACCCCCTATTGTGTCTATTCTGGTGCATTTCGGTGTCTGCATTTTCTGTACGTGTAGTGCAGTTGTTTTATTTTTTTGATGAAATTGATTTGCACGTGAAAGAACATGGTGATTTACATTGAAAAAACAATCTATTTTCTTTCTATTATCTTGATATTTTAGACGAGGCAAATGAACAATTCTCACCAAAAGTTAAATTCTGATGTAGACCTACCACTATTGTTACAAAGTCGTATCATTAGTCCCTACCTATGTTTTTTTGGTAATACTGATACCACTAGTGCTGTAGTGTTAAATGACCGTTAAAAAGTAGTGTTGTCCCTCTTTGGTAAAGTAGTGTTGTCCCTCTTTGGTTTAGCTAAAACCGAGATTTTCTATCGATGTTGATAAAAATGGATGAAATATGTGATTAAAAGTTCACAAAAATTATAGATCTCATTAAATATGCGATTAAAAATAATGAATTTTCGAAAATGGAAATCAAACGCGAATTTTGTTGCATTGGATTCAATTCACACAACCCAACAAAAGGCATCTGAGGAGTTGGGCTCCAGATCCAAGATAACCATTTTAAGCAATAAAAAAATCAATCATGCTACACAAACACACTCAAAAATAGATTCAAAAATCGGAGAGACACGTATTGATACATGATTGAACAATGTGAAAAAAAAAAAAAAAAATAGATGCTGCCAATTCAATAAATCCATCATTTCTTTGTTTGTGAGTCTGTTCAATCATCATTATTCTAAAAAAAAAAAAAATCCTGTGAACTCTGCAAAAATAACGATAAAAAAGACTGAACTCCAAAAATAAACTTGGCTGTCAACAAACCTATTCTGCGGTAGCCAGTGGGGGTGGTAGGGACAACAAAATCAAAGCAAATAATGCAATCTGACAGTCTATTTATTGAGGCAGACTACTTGTAACTTAAATTAATATTTTCCTTCTTCTTCTCGTTCTATAGTTGGAAGAAAGCTTGACAAAAAAAAAAAAAAAAAAAATTCTGGGCAGTGCAGACTTCAGTAGATTCACCAGTGTCTTTGATTGTTTGTTTACTTTAACCAATTTGACAAGGGAAATTTTCACTGCATGTTGGATTTTTTGATATTCAATAAATTCATGTTATGATGTTAAATCGTTTTGTTGGAATTATACTTCATAGGCTTCGGCTGATAAGTGAAGTGAATATCGACACCACGATTGTTCGAACCGAACTCACAACCTTATTTGGGC